CTCCAGTGTTGAACTGCAAAAATTCCAATAGATACACATGGCCCTTTGGATTCCAGCCACTATTATTACAAAATTACCGGGAATACTTCAAGCTGTATACTTTCTCTTATTAATAACGGGGGGGGGGTTGTATCTCTTAAAGCACCTTTAATTCACAAGCCAAGGAGATGACACAAGCATGACTATATCTACAGCTTTCTTAATCTTGACTTTGCTACTCCATCAGTTTTCAAAAGTTAAAATGCTGCATTTACATAAATATGTGCTTATGTTGATGCAAGAACGTTATGTTTATTTTCGCAACATGCTCATCAGCTAATTCACTATATAGCAAACAGATTGCAGTTGGTTTTTCTAAAATTGTGGCTTAGAATTCATTCTCTTGAGGCTATAAAGGGAAACTATAACAGAAGGAGTTTTTATGGTGTCCTTTTGTTGTTTCCTAGATAACAAAAAAATCATTTGTATTTAAACTCAACATTCCTGCAGTATGTGGAAATTTCACTTTAGGATATTTGTAATAATGTGAAACTTATAGAGCAGGAAGGACCAAATATCTTCCAGTCCAATTTTCTATAATCAGGATGATCTCAGATGATGCATTCTAACACAGTGGAACTATTCCGCTTATCTATGATCATTCACAGATATAGGAAGAGTAAAACATAATTGCAGTGCTAGTAATTCAAATATTTCTCAGTTTCATTTATATTTTTATTTCATTTCCATCCCACTCTTTATTTTTCAGATAACTCAGAGCAGCTCCTAGTGGGTCTCTCATCCGGGTTCTGATCAAGTTCACATTGACTTTGCTTTCACATTCACTTTGCTTCAAGAATACCACAAGAGAACTTTCACTGAGCAAATCCCCGCTATTGTTAATGAACACAAAGACAGTGTCAAATCATAGTTTAGCACCACATAAACCAGCCATCAACGAGTCTTGGGTCACACACTCAGTCTTCCCAATATACACAGAGGTCCCCTCCTTTTCCTGGATCTAAAGTAAACTGAATGCTTTGTGTTTGCCCTTCAGACCAGGACTGGAAACAAGAATCAAGCTGTGGCTGCCAATCAAGTTTGCTTTATGTCTGAAATTGGCAAAGGTAAAGGAGGAGTGTGATCCCATCCAGGACAGGTTGACTGCCCAATTCCTGGACTTCAGAACCACTCACCCGCAGCCCAAACACTACTTCCTCCTCCTGTCTTGATTTCCTCTTTTAATCAAACCACAGTTTGCCATTACTTCTGAACCATGGTTTGAGCAAGTCCTCCAAACCAGGGTTTCAAACCAAGAAGTAACCATGCATGGGAAGAGAAGAAGAAAGGAGAGCAAAGAGAGATGAAGCCTGTGACTCATTTCCAATTGTCTCAATTCTGCCAGTTCAATTCAGAGTCTATAGAGAAGCCTTCTACATAGTGAAGGAAGACAGAAAGCATGTACACTTTCTCCTTAAAATCAAGCAGAAATAAATATACTGTACACTATACTCACTGACTATGCTGCACAATGCCACTTTTCTGATGCAACGGGGGTAGACAGTGTTGACTAACCAGCAGTTTCCTCCCCCTTACCTTTGCCAATTTCAGGCACAAAGCACTTAGCAAACCAACAGATGGTTCATTATCCAAATTCTGTTAGTTTTTGGGCAGCACTGGAATAGTCTGGACCCTGTGGGAGTGCCAATCCCAAACACAAAGAATGACAACAAAGGATAACTAGGCTGGAACACACTTCCCTTTGTATCTTCTGGCCTTAGTGCAGTTGCTGGGAGGAGAAGGAGAAAATGCACCTAGAGCTCTACACAGACTCTTTTTTGCAGGACAAATTCTGCTTTCACACACAGGTGCTGCATTTGAATGGAACAAACAGAGGATGGTGCTGCATCGAAACAGTTTTTCATAATTTTTTTCTTTTCTTTTGATGTTGAAAGAGATAACAACAAGAAAATAGACATGAAAGCTCGCTCTCTTCTATGCCATGATCCTTAAACTAAAAGTAAACATGGTAACAAGTAGCAACTGGATCAAGAGAATCTGGGATCACCAGATACTATATCACTACAAAAGTTAAGTGGATGTGGACCTCATAAGGAACTGGAATGGTTACAGCACGATCAAACAATCCACTAAAATATTAAATACCATCTCAAAAGCGGTATGTGCTGTCAGTCTGATCAGCGGGACTTATGAATCGCATGTGAGAGCATGGAAATATTAACTGCAAAATGTCTTCAAGTTGGCTCGTCTGAAACAAACCATAATTAACCCTAACCTGTTTGTACGTCTGGAAAATAACAAACTGAAGTTGAGTAAAAAGAGGAAATGACTCCTCCTGAACTCTTTCTACCAGTCATGAGGGAGGAATACAGGGAAGGAAAATGTGAGCACTGAAGGCTCCCTGTGGTGTGGTGTATCCCTGGTCGTTCACATAGCACATAACTATGGTTCACTGTGATACGAAAAAATGGCTGCAGCTTTGTGGAAGAGCAGGTGTATTGTCTCAACCACCATTGTTCTGCCCGGACACTGAGGTCCAGCTCCGAGGGCCTTCTGGCGGTTCCCTCACTGCAAGAAGCAAAGTTACAGTAAACCAGGCAGAGGGCCTTCTCGGTAGTGGCGCCCACCCTGTGGAACGCGCTCCCACCAGATGTCCAGATGTCAAGGAAATAAACTACTATCTGACTTTTAGAAGACACCTGAAGGCAAACCTGTTTAGGGAAGTTTTTAATGTTTGATGTTTTATCGCTTTATTATTATCAATAATATTCTGTTGGGAGCTGCCCAGAGTGGCTGGGGAAACCCAGGCAGATGGGTGGGATATAAATAATGTAGTACAGTGGTGCCTCGCAAGACGAAAAGAATCCGTTCCGCGATTCTCTTTGTCTAGCGGTTTTTTCGTCTTGTGAAGCAAGCCCATTGACAGCTTAGCGGATTAGCGCTACAGCGGTCTAGCAGCTTTTCGCGATCAGCTGTTAAGCGGCTTATCAGCGGAACAGCTGATAAGTGGCTTAGCGCCTTAGGAAAAGGGGGGGAGCGGGGAAAAACCCGCGGGGACTCGCAAGATTTTTTCGTCTTGCGAAGCAACCCCATAGGGAAATTTGTTTTGCGAAGCGCCTCCAAAACGGAAAACCCTTTCGTCTAGCGGGTTTTCCGTCTTGCGAGGCGTTCGTCTTGCGGGGCACCACTGTAGTAGTAGCAGTAGTAGAAGGCTTCAGGTTCAATCCCAGGCATCTCTAAGTAGAGCAGGGAAAGATTCCTTGTTTGATATTCTGAAGGGCTGCTGCCAGTCAGTTTAGAAAAATAAGGAGCTAGAGGGACCAATAGTTTGATTCAGTACAAGGCAGCTTCCTATGTTCCTATTGCCATTGTGTTTAGAGCTAAAAGTCATAAGCAGGTTTGCCTGAGTAAGAAAGAGCATGTCATCCACTTCAAACCGAAGAGAAAGCTACCCACTAGTACCTCTTCTGTTGTCTGTGAAAGGTCTCAGTAAACAGCCCTCCAAAAGCATTATATTTCTTGTTATTTTAATTTCATATCAATCTCTTGATAGATAATCTCTTGATAGATAGATCGATCTTCAGTGCCTGAGGCTATTTTCTCTTGCTGCTTAGTTTCCACTGCCTTGGTGTCTCCTACAGACACCATTAAATATGACCACATTTTACTGGATACCAGGATCGGACACCCACCACACCTCCCTTTCTGAACAGATAAAAATACTTCCTGTCACCCCAAACACATAAAATCCCCTGGCACTGGTTGTTTTTTCCTTCCTCAGTCATAGCACACTGAAACCTCAGAGGAGGCAGACTTTTGCATCACAGGAGCAAATAATCTCACATATTCAAGAACTCATTTCTAGTGGGTTTATTAAAAAAAAGACGCAGAAGCTTATGAATTTCCAAAAAAGCACAGCAGTCACACCAACATCATAAACTGGCTTTGCAAAACCTGGAAAGAATGAAGTAGCTTCTCTTTTCTGATGAAAATATTCCCACAAATCCCATTATCATGCATGTCTAATCTTAATAAAGCACAGAGAAGCAAGACTGCAAATCACCTATCTATTTTTCCATTAGCGGAAAGCAAAAATATATACCCTCTTCACCTCAGTCAAGTGAGGATCCTAAATAGTTGCAGAACAAAAAATAGCAGAGTAACAGCCTGTGATATCTTTCTGCCCCACACACACACACACACACACACATTTTTGTTTACATTTTTTTTGGATGAGATTCTTTTTCTTTAAGGTATCTGCATTTATCCATATTGTTTTCAAAATGTATCTTTTGTTGTTTTCTGTATTTTTGGTTGCAGGGTGAGAAAGGCAATTCATTAAATGGCTGAATGAATGAATAAACTTACTGTATTATAATAATAAAAAATATTTCCATTATTCCAAAATGTGATAAACTATGGTGCATCTTTGGTCATGGTTGTAGGATTTTTTTGCCTACTTTTTGAAAAACTAACAAGATATTTCGCTGTTGGTTTTCCAAATTTTATTTAAACATTCTGCCTCTGAAAGGAAATCATTCTTTCTGCCAAGATCTTCAAATAAATAAACAAACCTTACTGTGAGAATCATTAGGAGACCTTTCAATTTAATTTGCTCTCTGGTAGTCAAAATTGTAGGTTATAATCAGGTCCTGTTTTCAAACAGCACTGAAAAATCACCTGCATGTTTCTTGATGTGGTGTCCTAATTTGTTAAGGGAGGAAAATGACAAACACACACACACACACACACACATTGTTGGATCACTTTAGAATGCATAACTATTAACAATAAACCATCAGAGGTGGTATGATGAAGCTATACCACCGATGGCAGCTGGCTGTTTAAAGTCACATAATCTAAGGTGATCCAACAGTGTATAACTGTTGTCAGGTGGCGGACTTCCTCAGAAGGTTTGACAACACAGAGTTTGGAAAATTATCTTGAAATGACTTTGATATACAACATAATCCAGCGGCAAATAATAAATATTGACTTACCTGACAAGAAATGTGTGCAGTCCAACATCAAAACTTCTGTAAAAAAAGAAGAAAGAAAATATTTTAATATGCAAGTGTACTATATTAGAAAGTGGAATCAAAAGCTTGTTAGGGAATAAGCAAAAGGGGTGGGGGATTCAGGCTAATAAATGCAGAAGACCACAGAAGCAATATTTTCAGAGGAGAGGCGGGTGGGCACTTTCTGAGAAGAGTCCTACGAGTTCCACTTCCATCAACAAGAGGAGTTGCAGGTCTAATCAAGCACACAATACTGGATCCACTTCTGTACACTTCTGTGCAGAAAGAAGGATGGATTCGAATCAGGGAAAGTGCAAAAAAGAACAATTGCAATGATTGCGATAAAGCAAATATTACAAGAGGAAGCTGAAAAAACCCTATTTTTGTACCCTACAGATGTGAAAGGCCCTACAATAGGATCCTGTCAGTGGGAGGGGTTTTTATCTCACCTATGTGCTGTGGGTCAAGTTTGACAGACGATCGGGGCAATCACCTGATGTCACAGTGACAACAGGTGACCTGTTTTGACGTACACAGCTTGAAATCCAACTGAGCTCTGGGCCTCCTACCGGGAAGACGAAGAAGAGTTTGGACTTGATATCCCGCTTTATCACTATCCTAAGGAGTCTCAATGGGACGCGGGTGGCGCTGTGGGTAAAAGCCTCAGCGCCTAGGGCTTGCCGATCGAAAGGTCGGCGGTTCGAATCCCCACGGCGGGGTGCGCTCCCGTCGCTCGGTCCAGCGCCTGCCAACCTAGCAGTTCGAAAGCACCCCCGGGTGCAAGTAGATAAATAGGGATCGCTTACTAGCGGGAAGGTAAATGGCGTTCCGTGTGCTGCGCTGGCTCGCCAGATGCAGCTTGTCACACTGGCCACGTGACCCGGAAGTGTCTGCAGACAGCGCTGGCTCCCGGCCTCTAGAGTGAGATGAGCGCACAACCCTAGAGTCTGGCAAGACTGGCCCGTACGGGCAGTGGTACCTTTACCTTTAAGGAGTCTCAAAGAGGCTAACAATCTCCTTTTCCCTTCCTCCCCCACAACAAACACTCTGTGAGGTGAGTGAGGCTGAGAGACTTCAGAGAAGTGTGACTGGCCCAAGGTCACCCAGCAGCTGCAGGTGGAGGAGCAGGGAATAGAAGCTTCAGCATTGCTTCCCCCTCTCCAAATCTCAAACACTGGGCTGCGTCTTTCTGTTTTCAAAGAGGCCATCCTCTTGGGTGAAACTCTTTGGATTAGGGAGCAGGGCCTTCCAGCAGTGATTTAAAACTACCCATCAGGGATTCTTTACCCGTGATTCCTGCATTGAAGGGGTGGCCCTTGGGGTATGGTTACCAGATGTCCCCATTTCCTGGGGACAGTCCCTGGATTTACAAATCTGTCCCCGGACAAAATCCGTCCCCGGAATGTCCCCGGATTTCATTTAATGTCCCTGGATTTATATTTTAAGTGTTGTAGATTTATTAGTAGGGTATGAATGTTGCGTGATTGGTTCAACGGCACAAGACACATCATATGGGGACTTCCGGCAAGGCAAAATGGCGGGTGCCACAGCAGCGAGCAGCTCCTGAATCCAGCCAGAGCCAACTGTGCTACCATGCTGGCTCCGGGCTGCTGAGACTGCTGCTGCTGCCACTGCTGCTGAGGGGAGGCCAGGGATGCCCAGCATGTCAACTGGGGGAATTGCTGACACACACACCCCATGACCCAAACCGAACCAGAAGCGAGAGCGCCTGGCCAACTGGCAGACTGCCCAGCGGCGCTCCAGGGCCAGCAAAAACCCCAGAGCCGATGCAGGGAGGAGGAAAGGAGAAGGAGAAGGAAGAGAGAGAAAGAGGAAGGAGAAAAAAGAGGGGAGCCCCGACCTTGCCGCGCTGCCGCCGCCACCACCGCTGCTGAGGAAGAGAGGTAGGAGAGTACTAGGAGGGCAAGGACACGTGGCTAAGTCCAGGCTCGACCCGAGCCTACTCCATGGCAGATAGCGTGCCAAGAGATCAGGCCGGGGCCCAGAGGAAGGCCACATAACAGAGGAGACCCAGAAGAGAAGATATTACTTCTTAATTTTTTTTAAAAAAAATGATTTTTAAAAAAATAACTTTTCTTTCTCTTTTTTTTTTTAAAAAGTGTCCCCAGATTCTTTGGAAAAAATCTGGTAACCTTACCTTGGGGGTCCCTTTATGATTCTATGACTTTATGATCTAGTCCCCTGTTTTGGACTACAGCTCCCATCAGCCTGAGCCAACACAGCTGCAGCGCAAAACATCTGGAGGACACCAGATTGGCAAAGCCTGCCCGAGAGGACACTTCGCTCTTCTTGAGGGCTGTTGGCAGCTATTTCAAAAGCCTGCTGTTTCTCCTTAGCGTGCCACTTCCGCATTGGTATTCAGCACACAGTCGTACACAAAGCCCCACATACAAAAATGAACCCAAAACCTGGGGGAGACTCAAACGCCCTCATGCAAAATGTCCGCGCTCTACTGGTAGCAATAACCCATTTGATTAAAACACACAGACACACACACACACACACACACACACACACACACATTGCCAAACAGCAAATAAAAATATACAGCCCTCTCCACCCTGCTCTGAAATAGCAATAACATACACATCTGAAAGTCAAAGCATGTGCAAAACTGTGATTAGTTTGCATTTATGAGATGGCCGTAGGAAATGATGAGTCAGCTCCAACTGTGTCGCAGATGCCCTCAAGCCATTTCCCAACAGTTGCATTTCATCCATGCAATTCCTTATCACCACAGCCCCTTTGAAAGTAGGCTTGGCAGCATTATTGCTGTATCGTGCAGCTCGTTCAATGTAAGGTATAAACTATATTATGTTTACGATAGGCCAAGTTGTTAACTGGGAAACAAAACTGGCTTGGCCTCCACCAGGTCAAATGTGCCCTTCTTCAAATTTTGCGATGCAGTTCCCCACTCCGAAAATGTATACAAAAATGCATTAATTAGGAGGGAAGTCTGTATAAAAATGAACATGAAAAAACATGAAAAAATGCATTATACCAGGGGAAATTGCTTGCAGAAATGTGTATGTTATTCCAAACTGCATATTAAAAAAAATGTGTTTCTTAGGATAAATTCACCCTTAAATAACAACTTTTCATAAGGACGAAAATTTTAAAAATGCACATTGCTGCAGAAATGTGGCGATCTGAATTTAAGATTAGAAAATGAGAAACAGAGAGAAATAAGATGGCTAGATCTAAGTAGCACACAAAACATCACCATGTTGCAGAAGATGCCACTGTCACACACAAAAACCAAAAACACTAGTATTTCAGCTAGGCATATTCCTAAAATTGAAAAGTTGTGCACCACCACATAAGCCGAGTGAGGAGACCTGAAATTTATGCCCTGCCTTTCCTTCAAGCAGTTCAAGGTAGTATATATGGTCCTGCCCTTTTTATCCTCAGAACAATTCTGTGAGATATGTTAGTCTGAGAGCTACAGTGACTGGGCTAAAGCCCAGTGAGCGTCACAGTTGACTGGGGATTTTAATGTCAGTCCTTCAAATCCCATTCCAACACTTTAACCAGTAAAACACACTGGCACTATTTGTAAAAGAAACAAAAAATCTGCCCTGAATGGAATAAAGATTGAGACACCTCATTCAGCCAAACACTTCCCATTACGAGACTTGCAAGGTCTCCATAATGCCCCTTTAATAGGTAAGTAATCAAGTGTTACAGACTAGCCATGAAATTCTGGCATAAGTGAAGTCTGCGGGATCCTTGCCCATTCATTCCAACAGGGCCAGAAACTCACGCTGTGGTTTTATCTGTTTTGGAAGGAAGGCACATGCCTTCCTAATACCACTCAAGTAGTACTAATGCAGATGGAATTCAACTGCTGGAACTTCAAAGAGGCCAACAGTACTCAGTCAATCAATCAGTGAGCAGTGTTGGCCAACAATATTTTTAAAAAGTTAAGCATAATCCCAGATACCGTACAAGAAAAGCGGTAACAAACAAAACACAAAAGTGGTAACAAAAACAACAACAATGCACCAGTTATCCACACATATGCACCTCAGATAAATAAGAAGAGCTCAAAGCCATTAGCACAGCAGGCAACAGCGCAAGCTATTAGCCACCAGCAAAAGCCGACATTAAAATGCCATATTTTTAGGAGCAGCCAGAAAGCAACTCCTTCTTCTATCAGTAGGGCATCCCAGGAGACTGATGCCGCAACTCTGCAACTCCCCGTTTGGCATGGCCACCAGTTGAACTCCAGTTGGCAGGGGAACATGGAGTAAAGGGGTACAGAATGGATGAGGAGCATCAGGTATGGGGGTCAGATTCGGTTCTCCAGGCCTCCCTACCTGGTCCTCGAAACTCTGCCCAGGTCACACTCCTTTTTCCAGGTTGTGCCCACTAACTGGTCCTGCTTCGCCCCCTGTGTGCTTTTGAGTGGCTGAAATGTGTCCCTGAACTCTAATAAATGCCTGCGGGGAAACCAGCAAGCAGGATTCGCACACAAGAGCCTTCTCCCCTGTTGTGGTTTCCCGAAACTGGTATTCAGAAGCCTTGCTGCCTCAAAGCCATCATGGCTAGTAGCTCTCAACAGCCCTTTCCTTCAGGAATTTGTCTAATCCTCTTGTACAACCATCCAGGTTTGCCTTAGTTCACAGTCAGACAGTCAGTCAGTTCATGTACTTCAGTGCTGAATATACTGACCAACAGTTGTTCTGTGGGGGTTTCAGGCACAGAACATACACAGCCCTACCTAGAGAAGCCAAAGGCTCAACGTGGGACATTCTGCATGCAAAGCAAATACGCTACCACTGAGCTACAGCCCTTCCATCTATTTATCTACTTGCACTGGTATGCTTTCGAACTGCTAGGTTGGCAGAAGCTGGGAGGTCCTTTACCTTACCTTTACCTACCTTCCATCACTAGATCCCATACCATGATCAGGTAGTCACTCAGTCCACTAACTCTTGATGGGCAAAGGCCCACCTTTCCCCTTCTTCTGATACTTTTATCATTGAACTGAACTT